TGCTTACAGGCTTGCTCCCCTGGCCCCTGCTCAGCCTGCTTTCTTATGCAACACAGGCCCACCTGCCCAGGGGTGGCACCACCCACAGTGGGCTGGGCCCTCCCACATCACTCATCAAGAAGATGCCCCTCAGATATGGCCATAGGCCAGTCCAATAGAGGAAATTCCCCAATTGAGGCTCCCTCAACCCAGGTGTGTCAAGTTGACACTAAAGCTATCCAGCACAGCCACCAAGGGCCAAAAGGGGGCACTGGATCCCCTGGAACGGCAGTTACAGATGGTAGGTAGTTGCCAGGTGGGTGTTGGGAACCATGGTCCTCTGCAAGAGTAGTTGATGCTCTTAAGCACTGAGTATCTCTCCAGGTCCTAAAATTAGATGTTTTTGTGTGATAATCTATCATTTTCTTAAAGATTAACAATTGGAAGATACTTGAGTAAAAGAATTTTGCAGTTTTCAAGACTTTAAAAAAATGATAGATTTCTGTAAGAGTAAATATGATAATTAAGAATTTTTTTAGGGCTGGGGAGATGGCTCACAGATAAGAACACTGACTGCTCTTACAGAGGACCTGGGTTTGGTTCTTAACACCCACATGGCAGTTAACGACCATTTGTAACACCAGTTTCAGGGGAGCTGACAACCACTTCTGGCCTATGTGGGCACTATAGGGAATGGGAGCATTTACATACATGCAGGCAAAACATTCATACATATAAAAAGTTAAAACTTTAAGAAAAAGAAATATTTTTTGGACAGAACTATTAAGAGATACAATTTTTTTTAAAGAATTGGTATTATGTTTCCCCTTGGTTTTCAGAAGGATTAAAGTTAAATTAATTTGTTGAAATGATTATAAGCCTTCTATATTACAAAGATTTATGTAATTCCTTCAAATTCTTGGATACAAGGACATACAGGTATAAGCATCCTATACGTATGTAAGAGTAGAATTACTACAGTTACACAATATTGAACTTAGTATAAACTCTGTAAGACTTAAATTTGAATGAGTTTTTAACCTTTAAAAAATCTCCATTTCATTTTAAAATATACTGTTTCATACAGAAAAACTCATTTTTAATGCTACTAACACTTGGATGTTTGCACATGCATCTCTAATCTCTATGTATCTGATTATTAGTAGTAACAGTTGGTTACTTTCTGAGATCCGCCTCAGCATAAATATAAAATCATCTGGTAGATCTCAATGGTAATGTGTTTCACCTCTACTAATTAACATGGAGCAAATTTTTATGCTTCTTCCTCAAATATAACTTTTTTTTATTTGTTGATGTTTTTGTGTGTATTTCATACAGAACATCCCAATCTTATTATTCTATATACACACTTCCCAAATGGCACCCTCCCGTAGACCCCCCCACCCCCCACCAGAGCCCATATACTCTGTCATCCCTATTACTGTCCACTGTCTTGTCGGCGACCCCAGCCATTCTCCAGTGCTTGTCCATCCACTGAATCTAGTCATCCTATCTAGAGTTCCTTGTTTTAGGAAGATTAGCTCTTCCTCATCTAGCAGCAAGCCAGTTCCTTTAGATAAGATTGGGGTCTGCTGTTCATTTTCCCAGTTCTATGCTGGGTTACTGTCTGGGAGTCACTTGGGCCACCCTGGCCAACAACTCAAAGGAAGGTATTTCCTGTTTGGCATTGTTGCTTGTTATGTAGCCTTTAGCTATACACATAGACTCTTAAAGAATTATATTGATCCCTTTAATCTTTGCTTATACTTTTCTTTTGGGTGTTTAAGACCATACAGTTGGCCCAGATAAACCAAATTATTTTTACTCTTAAGGTCATTTGAGGATCTGTTCCTCAGGGGTCACATAAGCTCAGGAGGAGCCCCTGGCTCCTTTCTTTTACCATTTCCATGTATGTGAAGATAAGTCAAAGGTCCTATTCTACCATGGCTGGCTTCACTTGGAAGCATAGAAGAAATGATTCCTCTGTGTTGACCCTCTTCTTTGTAGACTGGACACTAGTTTAAGTCCATCTTGTGGAGTCTCCATGGCCTCCTTGATCAAGAGGACAGCTGATTCACCACAGTTACAGGACATTTTGTGAGATGCTCATAGTTCCCTGGAACTAGTCGACCTAGGAGGGCAAGGAGCAAAAACTGTCCTTTATGTCCCTCTGACAAAATTAGTATATCTCAAAGTATATCTGTTAAACATCCAAGAGGTTAGTTCCACTTTCTGGTACTTTTAATTACCATGTGCTATGTAGATAAAGCTTGGGCAAAGACCAAATATTCTCAGATAAACCTTGCCTAGACATGTATTATATTCCTTGAGCTAGTTGTATGTGTAATTTGTCAGGTTGTTGGACTAATATGGTTCCCTCTGGTTTATTAAAACTAGCTAGGCATTATTTATCTCTTGCATTGTCTAACTCTTCCACTGTGGTTTCCCCATTTTTCCCATTTCTCCCTTAATAATACCCTTCTCCTGTGGTCCTACGTCTCTTGAGCTATTTCTTTCCCTTTATCCCCAAGTTTCCTCCCTCCCCTTCCCCTTAAAATAACCCCATTTTTATTCACATCTCGTTTATTAATGCCTGTTTCCTACTGTTCTTCTCTTTCAGGTTCTTTCTTTTCCTTTACCTCCCTGGTTCCTTTTCATTATCCTGTCTCCAGAGTTATATCTGGATACATACTCACTTATAAGGATTTGGTGCTAGGCTCCACATATGAGGGAGAACACATGTGGATTTTTTTTCTGAGTCTGTGTTACTTCACTTAGTGTAAGTTTCTAGTTCCATCCATTTACCTGCAAATTTCAT